GGTATCGATTTTTATACCTCCTTAACACGTGCAAAATTTGAAGAATTGAATCAAGACTTGTTTCAATCTACAATGGAGCATGTTGAAAAAGTACTTCGAGATTCTAAATTAAACAAAAGTCAAATTCATGAAATTGTTCTAGTTGTGGTTCAACACGTATTCCTAAAATTCAAAAGATGGTATCTGAGTTCTTCAATGATAAAGAACCAAACAAATCTGTTAATCCTGATGAAGCCATGGCCTATGGTGCCGTCATTCAGGCTGCTATTTTATCTGATGAAACTTCTTAAAAGACCCAAGATTTACTTTTACTCGATGTCGCTTCTTTATCTCTGGGTATTGAAACTACCGGCGGTGTCATGACACCGTTTATTAAACGTAATACTACAGTACCTACTAAGAAATCCGAAATTATTTCAACAGATTTTGAAAATCAATCGGAAATGATTATTCGAATTTATGAAGGTGAACGTGCCTGTACTAAGGATAACAACTTGCTTGGAACATTCGAATTAACTAGAATTCCGCCAGCACCAAAAGGTGTTGCACAAATCGAAGTCACATTGGATATTGATGGAAATGGTATCTTAAACGTATGTATTTAATATTCAATTATCATTATAATTGACATATTTATTGTATTAACTTAAATTAATTGTAGGTATTTGCTGTTGATAAAACAACTAGACGATCGAATAAGATATCCATCACGAATGACAAATGTAGATTGTCAAAGGAAGAAATCGAACGTATGGGCATGTAACCATATTCCATAATTTTGTGATGAAGTCTTTTACTAACAAAATTATATAATAATAGCTGCCAAAGCTGAGAAATATCGTGAAAACGATGAGAAAATTGCACAAAATATACAGACACGAAATCGTTTGGAAAGTTATGCATATAACTTACGTAATATACTTCACGTAAGCGTTTATTTAATATTTATTATACTGAATTAAAATCTTCTCTGATCAATAGAGCGAACAAGTTGCTGCTAATATTGACCTAGCAAGCAAGATGAAAATTGAAGATGCAATTTAACAATCGATTACATGGATTGAAAATAACCAAGATGCAATGAGGGAGAATATGATTATAAACAAAAGTCACTCAAAAAGTTAGCTGACTCAATAATAATAAAATTTTGTGGTACAGGCACCAGTTTTGGTCCCGGTGGCTTTTCAGTGTAAGTTGTGCGATAGTCAGATTGAAAAAAAAGAGAAAATAATATATCGTATTAGCAAATTAAAATATTTTCTTTTAAATATTTTTGATTAATAAGCAACTTTATTTATGAGTCTTTTCTTATTAAAGATTATTAAGATTCAATTTGTAAAATCGCGTAAAATATCATAAACTTTATTTGGTATTTCACATTTGCTATAAATTTATTTATAAAAATATCAAAAGTTGACAAAACTAAAATAATTCATTTCTGTAAAAAGTTTTCAGATTTATCATTTTAAATTTATTAAGATGATATATTTCAACGGTTTTTCATAGATAACTTTGCAATCTAAGGTTTATTAAGTTAGAAAAATTTAAAAAATAATAAAGTCAATTTTTCAAAAGACACACTGCATCTTAAGGATCGGTAACAATAAATTTATCCATTTTCTAATTATTAAATCATTTTGCGGTACTAATTATATACAGTAAGTCGAAATTATATTGTTTAGATCATCAAAGATTTTTCATGACATGTATATATGAATTGAATCATTTCTTCCTCCAATTATTTACTTAATAGCATATTAAAAGGCCAGCAGCTGATGTTAAGTTAAATAAGCCATAATATAATAATAGATCTTAAAGAAGATATAGATTCATCAGATAATGAATGCTAGTTGATCAAAAAGCAATTAACAATTATAATATGATTTTGTTAATTTATTGAATAAAAATAGCTTTTTTTTTTTTAGAAAAAATGATCAAATTTGTTAAAACTTATCATAAAGATGATTGATGATTAGTAAAAACAGATTAATTGAAGATCTAATAGTTCTTGGAGAGAAAGAAATAATAATTAATAATTGATTAAAACTTTAATTATTCGATTTAGTGACGAAGTTTTATCAATCATACATCAGATTCCTATATCTTTATTTCCATTAATGGGCAAAGTTATACGTTTACCTTATGCTAATCATCATTGAATCGGCATACCAATGCTACCAAATTTTTTTTTTTGTTCTAGTGATCGGTCATCAATGCTACCAATCAATTAAGACCTCCGGGTGTAGACCTTTATCATAGACCTGGAGGGTGCATACTCTTATCCTGTACCCCCTTTGAACCTGATTGGTCATATATCGCGTCTTTGGCATATACAAATTAAATTTTTATTTAAACTAAATTTTTTCCGTTTCGTTTGTTTTATTTATATTTAAAAGAGTAAAAACAAGTTAATTTCTAAAACATAATTTATAAAAGTATAATATTTAAAATTTTTATTCTTTTATTTATTTTCAAAAGAAAAATAATAATAAAATATTTATTAAAGCTACTCTTCTTTATATACATAATAGTCAAAATTGGCACTTTCTTCCATAATTTTTCTAGCTTCTTCAAATGTTATATTGCCCTTATCCTGAGAAATCAAACGTAATGCAGTTTCTGGAA